GTATGCCACCAAGGCGGCCTTCGCCAAGGCAATTTTCTTCGCGCGGTGACCTTGCGTTACCATGAAGTAAAATATCGCAGTGCAGTCCGATGTTTCAGCAGCGGCAGGGTCAATACATCCTGGCGGTTGCGGCAAAAGTTGAAAAATTGCTTCTGCTTAGTTGCGTAGGCTTTTCGTGTTCGTACTGATCGGTATTGTTCTTCAATCACTTCTTTCGGAGGCGTTTGGAGCATCGTAACGTGACAGCTGCCTGTGTCGCCACAAGGACGGGTGGCAGCGAAGCAACAGGCTCATGTGGTGGCACAGGTACCTGTTAGTTCACGTGCGCTATTGCGCTTCGTTGTCGGGCTCGTTGTGCTGCTGAAGGCATGTGAGCACGACTCGGCAAAATCTAAAATGAAATATATTTCCGGCGTGACAAATGCTCTCGAATCAGACAAGTTCATTTGATATTTACTAGTAAGTTTGTACGATGATGCGATTTTACAACTCAATTGATCAATTAAACTCCTTTTATTGTAAACTGGCATCTTGTTGGTGTAGCAATTAAGATTAATTAGCCAAATCTTGTTCGCCATCATACCGTACAAGTACACTGTAATAATGTGTTTGGCTGTTGTTGGACGACAGCTTATCAAGTTGCATCATTTCATGTTCTTGGACGTGGATAACATTGTCATCGATTGGCCAAAACTATTTTTTATGGAGGATGATTTTGGACGGCCACAATATTAATATTCCAGAAGTATGGCCGATTCCACGGGTGAAGGGTTTCCACGTCTCCCAGTATAGACTGCAGAAACACCTAATATTTTAAATGTCGTTTTTGACAATCTGCCACGTTTTAAAATAGCAGATTTCGGAGATGCTTGCCGTACCCTATCCGTATTTTTTTCCCATATATTTTTATAATTTGGCGGCAACTCGGGAAATTTATACGTGCAAGCCGCAAAATTGGCAGAATTGGCGGCAAGCCTTGGACCTGCCGAGTCCGGATACAGTGCTATTTTCCAGTCAAGCGAAATGACGGACACGACGGACGACGCACGGGAGGTGCAAGAGAAGAAGTGGTGGGCCGAAGACGACGACGTGATGCTGTTGACTCAGGTCAACAACGAGCGCCCATTCATGAAGAGACAACCGACAAAGGCCTGGTAGCTTTGGCGGCGACGTTACGGGGTGTTGACGATTTTTCAAAGCGTAGCATAGATGGAAAGAAGGCCCAGAACCATATCCTGCTTCTTCGGCAGGACAGGGCGCGCAATGCGACTGCGGCCCGTTTGTCTGGTGTTGTGGAGGAGGAGACGAGCAAGGACCGCCTTCTGGACACACACAAAGCTTCCACCCCAAGATATCGGTCGCCCGTTTCTGTCTCACAATGACGTTCGGTAAAAGCAAAAGGGAGGTAAGCTCCATCAAGCCATTCAGGTCAAACCGGAATTTGAGCACGCAGTCAGCGTCGGACATTTCGGTGAGAACCAAACTCCCTTTCGGGACAACAGGTCGCTCGACGGCATAGTCCGGAAGGCACAGGAGCCGATAGTGGTGCTTGTATGGCAGGTGGCGATTTATTCGTAGGAATGCTTTGATCTCGTCGGCACTTAGCATGCGATTGCGATGTTCCGGATACGGGAAAGGCATGGCAGATTTTTCTCGAAATCACATTGTATGGTTCCCGCGAATTTACCGTCCATGACAATTTTGATGGATGGGAAATCCACGGCAGTCTTTTCGAAATCTGTCTAATGTCCATGATTTGCCAGACAGGTGCTCATCCGAATACTCCTCTGAAAAATGATGGAAATAACCCTGTGATATTGAATACGCATCCCCAGGTCGTGATGCAAGGTCGGTTCGATGGAGGCGGCGGTGGATATCACGGCGGAGGTGGGAACAACATGCTTGGCTTTGATGGAAAGCCTCGTACGAGGAAGCCCATTGTGCGCAAGTGTATTGACCCTAACAGCTCATTCATCTCATACGTCACGATGCGGAAGTTCGCGCGAGATTTCAGAGACCTGCCGGCAGCGTTTGCGATGAATCCGCACTCTGCTTACAAGCGCTACATCCTTCCTCCTGGTGCATTCAATCGAGACGACTTGGCCTCCGTGGTGTGCACAAAGTTCTGTCGCAGTTCTACGAACAAGCAGCGATGTCCCGTCAACTGCCTGATGTGGACACCTGAAGGCCGCCGGTTGATCACGGGTAACTCGGTGGGGGAGTTTACGTTGTGGAACGGCCTAGCGTTCAACTTTGAGACGATTCTCCAAGCGCACGACGATGCTGTGCGTGCGATGGTGTGGAGCCACAATGACAACTGGTTTGTGACGGCAGACCACGGCGGCGTGATCAAGTACTGGCAGAGCAGCATGACCAACGTTCAGCTCGTGCGCGGACATCGCGAAGCCGTGCGGTCGCTGTCGTTCAGTCCCACGGACTACAAGTTTGTGAGTTGCTCCGATGATGCGACTGTGAAGATTTGGGACTTTGAAAGGTACAATGGAGTTGTGTGGATGATGTTCATGCTGTTGCTGCAGCGTCAAGGAAGAGCGCGTACTAACAGGGCACGGTTGGGACGTAAAGTGCGTCGCGTACCATCCGTCGAAGGCGCTGTTGGCGTCCGGTTCCAAGGACAATCTCATCAAGATCTGGGACCCGAAGTCCGGGCAATCCCTTCACACGTTGCACGGCCACAAGAACACTGTGGTCAAAGTAGACTGGAACCAAAATGGGAACTGGCTGCTCACGGCGTCGCGAGATCAGCTGATCAAGCTGTACGACATACGCACCCTCAAGGAGTTTGCGACGATGAAGGGCCACGCCCGAGAAGTGACGTCGTTGGCTTGGCATCCCATATGGGAGCGGCTCTTTCTCAGCGGCAGCTACGATGGGAGTTTGTTCTACTGGAACGAAGGCCAGGAGACTCCGATTGCGACCATTCCTCACGGCCATGACAATGCGGTTTGGGACATCCAGTGGCACCCTGCTGGCCACGTTGTTGCGTCGGGATCGAACGACCACAGCACCAAATTCTGGTGTCGGAACCGGCCGGGCGACTGCATGGATGACAAGTACAATGCTGGCGTTGGCGAAGAGCGAGACATGGACGGGATGATTCCAGGGCATCCCAACAGTGGGGGGCACATGATGGGCGGTCCGTCCGGTGGCTTTCACGGAAAATCGATGGGGGTAGGCGGGTCCCACATGCCGCGCCGCCCGCCACCCGAAAACTACACGTGCAATCGCTGTGGCACCAAAGGTACGAACGAATCGGGAGTTTGGCTGAATGGGTCTGCCTAGGACACTGGATCGAAGACTGCCCGAGCAAAGACGACGCGAGCGCTGCCATCTCGAAAGCTCCGCCCCCTGGCTACCTATGCAAACGATGCAACATCCCTGGCCACTACATCAGTGACTGTCCCCAGGCCAAGATTCCTCCGCCAACGTATATCTGTCACAAGTGCCGTCAAAAAGGCCATTGGAAACAGGATTGCCCGATGGATACCGTCCTCGGCGGCGGCGGGTTCAAGCGGCATGGCGATGAATCGGGGTATTCCCAGCCCCCCAAGCGACACGATCACACATCTGGCAACAAGTGGTAAGTCAGGCAGTGTTGAAATCTTCCAACGAGCAAACTCGAGCACTTGCTTTAAATAAAACCTGTCCATCTCCATAACTTAATCGCCGTCGAGTGGCGCGCACAGCTCCATCTCGAGCAGCGCGTCGTCCACTTCGTCCAGTTCCATCGCAGAGAGCGACAGCTCTCGATCGGAAACGTCTCCCGTGATGCTCCGAAGAGTGTCCAGCACCCCCGACAGCTCGAGTGCCTTGTCCGACGCCGTTGTCTGCGTCATCCAAGGATCTTCCAGCACCTCCGCAGCAGTCAAGCGCTTGCTTGGGTTGGCTACGAGGAGCTTCAGTGTGAGTTGTTTGCCGGCTTCGCTCACGTTGGCCCAGTTTGGATGGTCCAGAACGACCTTGGCTTGAACGACGCGATTGCAAATGTCGGCTGGATTGGCGCCTGGAAACGGGGGCTTACCACACAACAAAATAAACAGGATCACGCCGAGGCTCCAGCAGTCGACGGGGGTGCCGTAGTCATGGCCCAGGAGCACTTCCGGAGCCATGTACCCCGGTGTCCCGCAGCTCGTACCGCGAGTCGCAACGCCTCCCACAAGTCGCTTGGCGAACCCAAAGTCGGCCAACAGGATCGGCGAGTTGGCCGATGACGTGTAGAGCAATATGTTTTCGGGCTTGATGTCGCGATGGATCACGTTGTTGATATGGAGATAAGCGATGGCCGACGCCAGCTGCGCGATGACCCTCCTGGCGTCCGCTTCGGTGTATCGAGGGCGGGTCATCAGGTCAGTTAGGAGCATCCCACCCGTGCAGAGTGGAGTGACGACACCGTAAAACCCCGGGGCCTCGTAAAAGTCCAGGCATGTAACCAAATTCGGATGGGACAGCGACTTGAGCAGTTCCACTTCCTGCAGCAACGCAGGCGTCAACTGCACGTGCGACTTGGCGATGCATTTGACCGCTACTTGCGTGTGGCTCGAAGTATATCCGACTCGGACAATGGAATGCGCACCACTGCCGAGAATGCGGCCGAGCGTGTACTTGGACGACGACATCATCGTTGTGGATGCCTGCTGCTGCTGCTGTTTGACACTCGATGGCAGGGGATGCAGTAGCCGCGAGTTGGAGCTGTTCGGCTGGCTCCGGTACATCGACTTCATCACGGAACTGTACGCAACCTGCACGTCCTTGGTCCACAGAGACGGCCGCATCTCGAGCTTAAGCTCGGCCGCGACCGCTAGCATCCGCTTCAGCATGTCATTGTACCTCCCGTCGTCGACTTCTCCCTGAACTTGGTCGAGAATACGAACGAGATCCTGCGCGGATTCCACCACGTGCATGTCCCGAAGAAGTGCAAGGAAGAGCGGAAAGTCTTGGCTGAGCATCTTGGCCGTGCCCTTGTCCACGTTGGACGGCACCGGTGGTTCTTCGTGCGCTGCCGTGGCAAAGTGCATGTACAGATCAAGTGCGGACGTGTGGCGCGGCAATGTCACCTTGGACAGTTGTTTTCGCGGCTCTCGGAGGACGCGAACCCACCTCTCTCGCTCATCTTCCGTCGTTGCTTGAAGGTGAAAGCGAACAGGTCGGCGTACGAGGAACAAAATGCGGTGGCGTAACACTGTGATCGTGAATCGATACGTTCGTGGGTGGTAAGCTGGTTGTGGCGTACTGTCATCACACTCTACGTGAATGATGTCGGCAAGCGGCAGCTCACCACGGAGGTATCGTGGGTCGACGCTCCAAGTCGTGCACTTGGCTCCACCACCAGGTGGTTTCCTGTAGTATCGTAATGCGCCACTTGTGAGAACGAAGAACCTAGTCAGCCAGTTCTTTCGGAGATGGCCTCTCTTGAGCAGGATTCCGCTGTGCAGAACGTCCTCTTTGGACTTGCCTGGAGTTGCCACCGCCATCGCCACAGCAAGGCTTGGTCGGTCCTCCATCGTGGTGTGGGACTGCAAATTGAAAAAGCTTCGAGGGGACGTTTTATTCTGGACGTTTTATTCGAAGACCGTATATCGGAAGGATATCTTGATAACATCTCTTTTCTACATGGTGATATTATGCTCTGATTTTCAATGATAACACTCCATCCGGAAATATTTCTAAGGTTATTTGTTTCTAACATCACGATTGTTGAAATATTTCTGACGAGACCAGAACAATAAAACGTATTTCCGACCAGACATGTGGGATTCCTCGCATTTAATTGGCTGGTCCAAAGACCATGACCAATTGGACGATTCCACCATCCCAACTGCCCAACGGCCGGCAACACACAACAACGGTCGACACGGCAGAGATGCTCATGCATTGGCCACGAGTTGGAGGGTCCGTGGCTCTGTGGAGGACGAGCTGAATGAAATTACCATGACCATGTACATCGTGGTCGCGCAGGTGGGGCGATGTGACGACATCGTGGAACTCTTCGAACCTTTGCAACTGACACGGCAAGGACTGACGATGGCGCTGAGGTACGAAATCACGCAACAGAGAAGGGAGTAAATGTTCGTCTCGCATGGAAGAAGACGAGGAAACCGGCGCACGAGTTATCGAGACAAAGCAGGCCAGAGATATTGGCCATGAGCCTGGCAACCGATAGACAACGAAGTGAGGATCATCCAAAAAGCCAACCATATGCGTTTCGTGGAATTGGTTGACAATGACATCTTGATGTAATGCTCACGTCGACTTGGAGCCCTGGAGGAATTGCAACCCGCAATGAAATCGAATGTGTAAACACCGTAGACGATTCAAAATCTCGACCTTGCACCATATTATGTGCCTGAAAGTCGGGATAGTCCTTCCATTCAAACACGATGCGTGCGCCAACCTGATGCTGGCGTTGTCAAAACGATAAACCGTGTCGACTAGGTGTCCACGGTATTCCAGCAGAAACAGCCACTTGCGCGCGTGAGTGTTGCGGATCCCTGGGAGGTTCCCGTGGGAGCGCGGTGTGGCCTATCCACACAGCAACGCTCGCTTGGGTACCTTTCTCGAAATTTGGTCGTCGGCGTTGCCTTACCGCTGCCGACAGCAAGACCTACGAAAAACGACACTAGTCTAAATTGCCAAGGACGCA